GGTGCCTGGGATGGAGGGGATGTCATATGAGAAATCAAAATCTCTCAAATTGTTTTCTCATGAAAAAAAAAAGGAAGAGTTAGGGGGATCTGATTGAGGTGTTTAAGATTGTAAAGAGAATTGACAGTGTTGATGCATCATCTTTTTTCATATTTAACAGTGAGAATAGTAGGACTAGGGGATACAGATATAAATTTTTTGCAGGGTAGGAATCATCTTCAGCTAAGACAGTTTTATTTTTATAACAGGGTGGTTGGCCTTTGGAATGGGGTGTCTTGGGATGTTGTGGAGACAGTAAATTTAAGTGAGTTTAAAAGAAAGCTTGACAAATATATGAATGATAAGGGATGGCTTTAAGATTTTTGTTTTATTTTGATTTATTTATTAATAGTTTGTTTCATTTAGAGGATGGGACAGCCGAGATGGACAAATAGGTCCCTTGTTGTCTCTAAACATTGTTATATTATGTTTTGCATCATCTACATTTTAACCTGATTCCTGACACTAAATTATAACACTATTCTTGTGAAAGCTGTAGTGAAACGTTTGCAGGATTTTGAGACAGAAAATTGTATTGTGTTTAACACTTGCAGTACATTCTACATGCTTGAAACATATGATGTTTCCATAAAATCATTATTTCCTAACTCGGAGAATATCATCAACATGACACATATTCTGAAAACATTTCCAAAAATCACTTAAATCACTTAATTTTCAGGGGTATTTATCACAAATGTTTTTTATGTCAGAATCAAGGAAGAGGAGATACCAGAAACATTTTGCAATTAATTTACCTCAAAATAAAAAAAAAGCCAACAATGCTTCTTAATCTGTGCTTAATGAGAAGGAATTCTCTCATGACCTTATTCTACTTGTGATAATGATTTCATAAATACTGAAGTTGAAGGTACGGATGGAAATATTCGAGAGTGGAAATGAATATAAGAATATCAGAATAGCTTTTAAAGGTTTTGTGAATTGATATTTGGTATTCAGGGTTTTATATTTTCAAGGACTTTCCTTATGTTGTAAACAACCTAGACATCACTTGATTGCAAAACACAAGTATGTTTCACCAATCCCCACCTTTGAATGCAGTCAGTAAAAACATATTTTCATGTTGTGCTAGATTAACATGAAATGACACCTTAATCGACGAAGCCAACTCAATTTTAGTGCAGTATGTAATGGTTGTAATTCAGAATGTTACAACCACAATGGTTTACACAGTGATTGAGGTCAGATTCTTTCCCCTAGAAGCTCATTACACTCCCCCAATATAATGAACATGAGAGACATAATAAACTCTGGGAGGTTGGAATTGGAGGAAAAAATATTTTCGGTAAAACAACTTGGATCATATTTACAGAATCAAATATTTGGGTGATGTATAAGAAATACGAATGATGAGCTGAAGATGTTAAATATGAATAAATAAATAAATATATAAAGCTACCTTGTGGTAAATGCTTTCAATAGCACTACAAACAGACAATTTAAGAAGAAATTATTTACTACGGGTTGAGTGTGATGTAGCCAAATTGATATACAATCTGTTGTGTATATTGCATAGGGTGTGTAAAGACAGGGCCACTCTTGTGATATTTGTATAATCTTGAATGAAATAAATTTGATGATGAATGCTAGTGCTAAATATCATTTTATATCTTCGGGCACTCTTATATAAAACTTGAAAATTTTATTACAAATATTATGAGTAATTGTTTTTAATGTATGGTGAACAAAATACAACAAATATATAAAAAGACATATATTTTCATTGTCTTTATTTCCCAATACTGGAAAAACCAAAATCCACTATTTGTTTCAGCTCAAGAACATACCAGATCCAATATGAATTTTGCATCAAATTCATATTGATGTACAAAAATATCAAAGCATTTTGTTGCAAAGCAGTATGATAGCTGACAAATCTGCTAAAATATTAAACAACTGGATATTTTATAACAAAATTAGGCTATTGTTACAGAAGTGTATGATATACATTTGGAAATTGGAAACCAAATGTCTCACAGATTTTTGAAGCAGGTGTATAAAACTAAATTTTAACCTACACTAGTAATGTATAAAGTACAAAATAATGAAACAAATAATATTTAAAAGATTTGAGCCCGGTCTTGTGATAGCAAATCGTACTGTTAATGTTAATTTATTCTGGAACAATATTGATGACTGACTATCCATTCTGTCCACTGTTGCAAACAATTACTTGTGCACGGTAATTAGTTCTCCTGAAGTTGAAACAATCAACAGCTTGTACAAAGTCAAACTGTCTTCAAGAAGATCTCTTTCAGGAAATTGTTTAAAAGTTTAAATTTTTTTATATTTTAATTAGGACTGAAGACAACCGACTTATTTACTGAAGTTATCTGAGATATTTAAACTGCAGTTTAACATAAGTTATAAAGTACTTACTTGTACACTGTTTAATAGGAACTATTATTTTTTTAAATTATCTTTTAAAAATGGTGTATGCAACTTAGAACTGATTATTAAAAAAATGTTTAACTTTGTAATTTGATTTAACATTCAACTCTTTTTACTTTACTACCTGATGTTATGATATTTATAAGAATTTAATATGCGGAATTTCACATTTTCACTGCAGAATATTGAAACTGTATTGTATAATTTCTTTTACAAACAAATCCTGAATTTTTAAATGTGTGTGGAATCCTGGAGAGTCCATGCTGTCATTAACGGGTTTCCATGTTTTTGAAGAAGAAATCTTAACTAGTTCCAGACTTGCAACTTTGTGTATTTCTTATTCAGCAGTATATCAGACTACTAGTGTGTTTATAATTGAACTAGAATAATACAAGAATTCATCATTTCTTGTTATGTCGTCTTTTATAATCACTTATTAACACTACTCATTTCATCAGCAGTGACGGTTATTAGACAAATTTGAAACCAAACCTATGGTTCATTTACACACAAAAGGAATTTTTATTTACAGTTAAACATATTCTTTCTTGTTCTACAAAAATTAAGAAGAAATTGAGGAATTGTTTGTCTTGAATATAAGATATATCATGTAGCTGCTGCAGACCAGTCTTGATTATGAACATTGACGTATAAATACATAATAAGATTAAAATAACACACTAGATAAAATACCAATAATTCTTTCCCAGTGATGTACAATTGGGGAGGTTTGTTTTTACAGTGTGAAAATATGGAGAAATCAAGTCATAAAAACAAGATGTCATGATGAGCATTGTGAGACAAGTGCAATAAGTACAATTAAAGTAACAGTATTTCATAAATGTAACAGATATTCAGTTTAAAAAATGATTAATTTTAATTTACTAAGAAGTAAACTAATTAAAATTATTTGGCACATTTTGATACTGTATGCTAAGGTTATGATCATTTCAATAATCATTTTGGAACAATAAGTGATAATTTTCTTTTTGACTATAATGATTAATATAATTAATGATGTATATATCCTGTTGCTAATTGCTTTTTTATTATTATTATTATTTAAATTATTATAGAAAAAGAACAAATAGAACTGAGAAAAACAGTTAGTGAATTGAGGAAGATAAAAGAATCGGTCGATAGGGCATCCGAGTATAAAGTCACTGCTGACAGATATCAAGAAGAACTAGAACAGTAAGTTGTTCAGAATCAATGACACCACTTGGTTAGGTTATGTTAGTGTTTTATTGGTTTAGATCTATATACGTATCTCACATGAAGTGGATAATATTTTTTGTTTGTGTTTATAATAACATTGTATTCATGTTGGTTGTTGATGTTTTTGTGGA